CTTTTAAGATGCAAAATATATCAATACATTTAAATCACATCAATTTTTACAAATATATTTTTTTCATTTGAATTTTATTTTCAGACACCAGCCTTTAGTTTATTATTATAAACATAAAGGACTAAGATTGATTTTTTTTTTTATCCTCTGTTATATTAAAGAGCTATTCTATTGAAATATTTATGTAGTCTAGCCTAAAAAAATTAACCTTGAAAAAACTAATTGTGTTGGAGACTGGAGAGTCACCTTGCTGACTAGATTTGACTGTATGGTCATTGATTATTCAGTGCCATTTATTCGCTTTCTATGCAAATAAAGAATGTTCCTCAAATATTTTTTAAGATTAAAATATAAATAAAAAGTAATCCTGTGTTAAAATAAGTTTGAAATGTGTGATGTGAGTACATATAACATTTTGTATCGTGATGACAGAAGAAACTTTTTTCAGACTTTCACATCAATTTATTTGTATTAATTATCTATATGAAGTTAATTTATAAAATTAAACTTGATTATTAATATTAAAATAAGGTACTTATCCCTGCCCTCTCTTTTGAAAAAGCCCCCATGAAAACATGAAAAACCCAGAAAAGCCCAATAAAACCCACCCGGGTTGGGGTTTTTTACAAAAACCCGGGTTTTTTGCAACCCTGCTCTTTTTGCAGATATAATCGTGTGGGCTGATAAAAAGATTACATCTCCCCGGTTTTTTTCAAATAAAATTTCATACTTTTTTTTAATCAGTTGCTTGTTATTTTTTTAATTATTATTTCCCCTTCCCCTTTTTCATATGTCTATAATTTTCCTTTGTTTTATCTTCATTTTGAACATATCTAATGAGTTCTGTTTACTTGCAGCTTATGCGCAATAAAGGAAACTTATTGTTTTTTTTTTAACTTTCTTCGTGTTTTCTTGTATTTATTTATTTTGTTATATATATATATAAATCAGAATGATTATATGTAAGTTCTTCATACAAATCCATAATTCTGAACTGATCTGCACCAAATTTGATGAAAATAAGTTTGAACACACAACCAACCTAACTGTCTACTTTAAAACTATCTCTGACTATCCGTTCGCGCACTACATGCTAAAGAGAGAGTTTTCCACTAGATTTAATAAATATTTTGTAATATGAGGCATTTGCCAACTTGCACCTCTAAGAGATCAAAATCTAGTTTCATGGATGGCACATTTTGATGAATTATTTGTCTCTGGTTTCCAATAAAAGGTTACCATAAGTAAAATCAATGTTAATTTCCCAACGCATGTTGAAGATGTTGTCATATTCATATCTTAAAAAGTATATGAAACTGCATATACAGCAAAAACTAATGACATATATTTGAAGTCATCTATTAAGTGATGGAAAAATTGTGGTTAATTCTAAATGTCGCATTTTAAATATTATTTATGAGTTGATTTTGGTGAATTGAATTTTTAACTCATATTACGGTAAATCTATAAGTATGAAGGTGCACTGAAATATACAACAAATAAGAAAAAAGAGGCATTATATTAGGAGCCATGAAAGTGTAGCATGGTGATATTAGGACACTTATCCATTTCAAAGGATGGTAAAATACCTTAGTATTACCACTGTACCTATATTAGGCACCTATGTTGGTACAATAGATTCTCATTACCACAGTATTTATAAGGCAATACCAGTAGTATTTAAAACCAAATTTAATTAGGCATCAATGACGTCAATAATAGTTTAGCGTTTTTTTACAGAGTACAAACTAAGTACTGATATCAGTTTATTTGCCAAGTTGATCATATAAATATTAGTGTCGTGAATAATTAATTATGTGAATTACAATTTATTTTAGCAATAGCTATAAATGGAAATTAAAAAAAAAAAAACGTTTCGAATTATGAAGCTATATTGATGTAGAAAAGGTGTTTATTTGTATACGAGAACCGTAAAAATTGCCAAATTATTATCGACACTAACTAGTTTTGGAAATGGGGAGAAATAAAATAAAAATGTAAGTTTGTAATAAAAAGCTAAAGTAATGGAGAAAAGGTACTTATTGATCAAGAAAAAACCCATAAAAAACTGCTTTATTGGTGTCAGTGATGCTTCATAATTTTAAAAATTATTATTAATTTATTTTACTGCTTTTATGATAATTGATATTTTTAATAGGCACTAAATACTAATATTGGTATCAAGAAACTTAATGTAGGTACTGTAAGAATTAATTTATACAGCAGACCAAAGCCAGAGAAAATAGTTGATTATTGTAATTTTGAACTATCATGAACAGACCTCTTGCAACAGTAACATGCCAAATAATACAGAATATAATTAATCTTTATTTTGATGGGATGAACTTTAAAAACATGTTTCTCTTAAATCTGATAAATTTTTAAAAAAATATTGGAATTGTTTTAGCTAACTTAATTAATGTCGATAAATGTCTTCCAGTTTTGTGCGTGATTTTGCAAGTGCTGATTAACACTGATTAATTCATTGATTATTTATTTTTACACCTTATGCAAAGAACCGGTATGCAGCTTGTTTATATATAAAAAATAGTATGAGTTTAGTCAGTTAAATAAATTAGCAACTATGTAATATCATCATAACATGACTTCACTTAGTATTAATTCAAGTGTTCAAAAGAAAATTCCCCATTGAAGAAGAAAAAAATACTCTATTTTTAAGAAACATATAAAATTTGAAAATTACTCTTACCTAGTTTTTCTTTTTGCTGCAGATGTACCAGTGCCTGAACAGTTTTTGGCCGTTTTACAGCAGCAGTGGCTGCTGCAGTGTTTTTCCGATGGTTCATCTTCTCCCAAAACTAAGTTATTTATATTTCTCTAAATTTTAAAGTTACAAAAAAAAAAAAAAAACTGTCAATGTTTTGTAATAGAGGGGTAAACAAACTGAAATTATGAAGCAAAAAAGAAAGTAGCTAAAGATAAAACAATGAAAAACTTCAATAGTAGATATGAGCAAATGTCTTAAGTATTTTTTCTCCCACTTTTATGTCTTTATTTACAGATGTAGTCTTGAAGAAAACATTAGAATGAAGAAAAAAAATTAAATTACCAAAAATAATTATTTCTTCATGAAGTCATCATTGACTAAAGTTTTAAAAATACATGTAAAGTAAATAGTTTTTGAGATAAAATGCATGAAAACAAAAATAATATTAATGGGCACAAACTTTTGGCATCTGATCATAATTAAACTATTGGGACCATATTTTCAACATTGTGATCCATATTTTAAGAATCAAAGAAATTAATTAAAACAAATCAATAAATGAAAAGCTTTGGGTACACGAAGGGGTAAATGAAACTTCAGAAATTAGCAAATATTAGTTTCTTAATTATGGAAATTAAAACTGAAGTAAGATAACTAAAACATGGAATTTAGAAATTTCATGTTTTTCGAACAGCAATGCAATTATTTCTAGTTATGAAGATGTATTATTATAATAAATTAATAAAAAATTATAATGAAATTTCTATTAGTTAAGCTTTTTTCTTCTTCCTTTCTTTACCATATTCTTTGTATGATATACATAGAATCAATTTTGCCATGATAATTTAAAAAAAAAAATTATTATGGTCATAATAAACAGTGGCTAGAGACAACACAATTATGAAGATTTTACCCTAGCATTTATACTTGCTATAGCAATGAAGAAATAAAATTATTTTCTTATGGGGATTTTCGGTTTTATTTCTATGGGGAGTGTAAAATTATATGAAGTGCCAATTGGATATACTATAGCCTACGTCACAGGTTGTGTTATTCCTACTAAATTTAACCCATGAACGGCATTTTCTGCGAGCCTAACTTCAAGCCACAAATAAACAAACGAAGTGTTTGATCGTTTAAATAGCTGCTCGCCAGATTTTATTGCATTATAAAGAAAAGTAATTGATATTCGATTTTTGAATAATAATTGATTTATGTGGATAGTGGCATAGAATTTAGCATTGCGTCATGGTAAATGTTATTCCTACTAAGTGGAAGTAGTTGTGTTTTTTTTATATTATAACCAATTGTATAAATAACTACAGTTAACAACCATAATAATTATAAAAAAGCATGTTTCCATCCTAAAGAAGGTGAATTTAGTTTCTTATGGTTGACATAAGGCAGAATACAAACATTTAATTATACTGGGGATTTTATGCAGCAACCATGCATATCTAAGCAATGAGAGAAATGCAAAAACATCGATTTCTAGTAGAACTAATATTCATTAATATTCAATAAATATTATCTGAATTTCACATGGATACAAGCAATGTAAAAACTGTAATCCGTAATAAGAATAATAATAGCATTCCAAGTGTTAGTCTCAGCTTTTTCTGAACTTTAAGCTGGAGACTTAAAGTTTAGAAAAATCTGAGATTAACACTTAGAATGCTATTATTCCTATTACGGATTAAAGTTTTTACTGTATTTTAAGGTTTTTTTTCTTCTACGGATTACAGTACTTAAGCTGTAGACTAAGTTGATGGCACACTGACTGGATTACTTAATGTTCAAACAGAAGTAAGACAATGTATCTTGTTGGGATTCCTGTTTATAATTGGCATCAATTGGATCATGAGGAACACAATTCACAATCAGAAAAGAAGAATATGATGAAAATTTAACACACACTTTAGAAGACCACTACTTTGTTGACGAAATTGTCCTCATATCATCTAATTTTAGCGATCTGAATATGAAAGCACACACTTTTAACAAATATGCTAACAAAATTGGCCTTCAAATTAATAAAAGTAAAACAAAAATAATGAGAATAAATGCGAAATCTAACAGAAGCATAGAAATCAACTCAAAAAAGATCTCGGAGGTTGATTCTTTTGTTTATCTCGGAGCTATTGTTAATAAACAGGGCGGAAGTAACGATGATATTTCCCAGAAAATCAGAAAAGCAAGATCATGTTTTAGAGGTCTGTACAATTTTTGGAGAGCCTCAAATACAAAATAAAAAACAAAAATAAATATCTACAAGGCTACTGTGCGTTCCTTTCTTCTGTATGGTGACGAATGCTGGAGTCCCCGGAAATCAGAAAAAGAAAAACCCGAAACTCTTCAAAATAAAAGTACTAAAAATCTTCTGGCCCAATAGTATAACAAATAAAGACCTTTAAACAAAAGCTAATATCCCATCTGTTAATGAAGAAAATTTAAAGCGAAGATGGAGATGGCTTGGACATATACTAAGAACAGATAGAAGCAATCCAGCAAATGTTGCAAGCTCATGGATGCCTGATGGAAAGAGAAAAAGAGGGAGACCAAGATTAACATGGCAAAGATGCATTAAGGAAGATCTTGGTAGAGCAGGATTAACTGGATGGGGAAAAGCATGTTGCCTGGCCAAAGACAGGAGTGTGTGGGGAAAAAAAAGACCCCAGGCCAATTGTGTCAGTTCAGCACGAAGACGATAAGTAAGTAAGCTGCAGATTGTTTAGCATCATCAAGCCCGTCTCTCAATGGGAAAGTAGTTTATAGCAGGAAAATGTCAGTAGGATTCCGCCCAAGAACTATACATTTGATGGTTAATTATTTTCTCTCTGCCTGTTGTTTAGGCATGATGGATAAAGGGGGGGGAATTAGCCTGACACTAAAACCCTATTTAAAAAGCAATTAAGGACAACAATTAATTACAATCTTTATAAACTAGCAAAATTTTTTTGTAAATGCTAATTAGGGTATTATTTTTGAGAGAGATTGGATGGATCATTGATTATAATGATGAGGGCTTATGCACAGTAAAACCACAGCAAATCAAACACATATGTGGAGTTATTGATTTGCATTATCATACTTTGTTGGAGGTTTTTTATTTGAATAATAATAACTATAATAGTAGAATTGTGATGCATTGCCGAAGACTGGAAGCAAACTAATGTTAGTCAATTTCAAATTCACTTTACAAAATATAAAAATAGTTAATAAAATAATAAATAATGTATTTGCACTACATTACAGTTACGCTAAATTTGCTAACAAGCTAAACAAATTTAAGAAAAAGAAAAAAAAATTTTCAAATTTAAACCATAGCTCTAAACAAGAGAAAAGTATAATAGAGTTTTTATATGATTCTTGATATGTTTTAAGCATGCAACAAAAATGAAAATAAGATTTACCAGAAAAACTGTTCAAAGCTTCAAATAAGTAAATTTGCTGTTTCAGAAAACTCACTTTTTTTTGTCATTTCTCGCTTCAAAACTTCGTCTTTCAAGAGAAAAATCTATTGCAATTTTACTGAAGTAATGACTTCTAAATGTATGCAATCTCTCTCAAGGATATGCGAGCTCAAAAAACATTTAAAAAAAGAAAATTTAGTCAAGGTCAATGTAACTACAAGTGAAAATTTTTGTTTGAAGACGTATTAAATTAAAAAGAAGATTGCTAGAAATAACCAGTGAAGGTTAAGAATATTTTTTTAGTTTAATATTTACTTCAATTGGCATCATATTATCAATATAAAATTACAGTAAATAAAATTCTATCTCAATAGCTTAAAAAATGGATGGGACAATTAGACATTACATTAAAAGGTTAAGATTACATAGTAATGTGTGTTTACAACAAACTTTGTTGGCTTCTAAAATAAATCTTAATACTGAATAGAGTTACAAAAAAGAAATAAATTACTTACCGCAATAAGGTCACAATTATGAACATTTCTTTTCTTAGGTGATTGCTAGGAGGAAGAAATCAAATTAGATTTACACTTTAATATATTTATAACATTACATTGGTTGAATAAGAAAAACACACTTACTCTGATTTCCCTTTTTTGATTTTCTCTACTAGAGTCAGACAGTGGACTCGAGTTTTTGCCATTGCTGGTTCTATTAAAATATAACATAAATGCAAAAATTATTAAAACAAAAAAAATAAAAAAATAAAAAAAACATTGTATTGATGCAATTAAAAATATAAATAGTTCAATAAATAAATTCTTTATTTTGTCATTCCTGATTGCAGACATTTTGTCTTTAAAACAAAACATATCACCTAAAAGTAATAAACACTAGAAGTTAATTTAGGTTGGTAAAACTTAATTTTGAAATATCAAATAGTTAAACAGCTTGACACTTCTTTTAAGGTTGTAGAGGTTCTTTTAGGGTTTAGGGTCAGGGGTCTGCTTAGAAGAAATTTGGGTCTGTTAACGCACCCTTTACAAAATATCTTTTCATAAAAACAGACCCCTCACAAAATATCTTTTCATAAAAACGGACCCTTCACAAAATAAATTTTTTTCTTTTAATTGGACACTTCACAAATTTGTTTATCTTCATCATTGTTTTGTTAATTGAATAAATCCTTCCCAGGACAGAAAACAGGAAAGATAGATGTAAACGAATTAAGTTTTGTCTTCGGCAGACGCTCCTTCCATTATTCGTCCGAAATGAATATTCTGTGTTCAGCAGTATAGGCTAAATATCAAATATGCATCTCTAATTTAGAAGCAGCAATTGCTGTTTATTTTTGAAAATTTAATTTTTTTTAATTATAATTTCACAGTGCTGAGCATAATCTTGTATCTAGTATTTACAATTTAAAAACTCCTTGAAAAAGTTTTTTGCAATAACCGGACCCAATTAGCAAAAATTCATAAAAGCAGGACCCTGGTAATTTTGAATGGAGTAATTTTTGAATCCCTGGAATGTGAGTAATTTTTTCACGAATATCGGACCTTTCACAAAATGTCTGGACAGATCCCTGAGGGTACTTATTTCAAAATGAGATTTATGTTTATAAGATTCTAGAAAAAGAGTTCATATAAATTTTCCGTGTTAAAAATTAAGGAGTGCTTGCGGAATTTTTTTATGGACCATTTTGAAAAAAATTAAGGACGCTTATTTTAATAATACTACAACAACAAAAATTTCATTTCCCTTTCACGAACAGATTTCAAGTGTGAGGAGGATGCAATTAAAGTGAAATGCAATCTTTGTTCCTGCTTTATCTCAAAGGTGGAACAGACAAAAAAGCATCAACTTCTCCACTATTAAGTCATCTAAGGAGAAAACATTTAGCAGAATATGCCAAAATTAATTGCTGCAATGAAAAAGGTCAGGATTTAGGTTTTGAATCCACTGATGATACTGTAAATTCAGATGATCCCAGTACAAGTTCTAAAAAAAGAAGATTGAAGCAACCAACTTTAGAGGCAGTTCTGGAAAAGAAAAAAATCTGGGATATAAACAATCCAAAAGCTGTAGAATTACATTATGCTATTGGCCAAATGATAGCAGTAGATAATCAGCCATACTTATTTGTGGAAGATGAAGGTTTTTGAAATCTCATAGCAAAAGCACAACCACAGTATAAAGTTCCATCAAGATAATATTTTAAACAAGTAATTATACCAAAAATGCATTCAAAATGTAAAAAAGAAATTGAGTCATTGCTTTCTTCAGCTACCTATCAGTAGTTTCTTCAGTAGCTGCTTTAACTACTGATATACGGTCTAATTCAGTAAATACAGTTTTATTAGCTTTACTGCTCACTGGATAGATAATGATTTTAATTACAAACATTTTGTATTAAACTCAAGACACTTTCCCGGAAGTTATACTGGAGAAAATGTAGGCAAGATGTTAAGCAGCTTGAGCGAGGAATGGAATGTGACAAATAAAATATATCTGGTCATTCGTGATGGTGGTTCAAATATTGTAAAAGCTGTAAATGATCTCAATTTAGAAAGTGAATCTTGTTTTTTACATAATTTGCATAGTGATGGATTAAATTCCCAAAGAGCATTAAAGGATAACATTGCTCTAGGAAAAAGAATTGTTGGCCATTTCAACCATTCTTCTTTAGCTTGTTCAAAATTTAAAGAAATACAAGAAAGACAGTTACATATACAATACAAAAAATTAGTGCAGGATGTTTCAACAAGATGGAACAGTACATTTTACATGTTGAACCGCTTACAAGAATTACAAAATGCTATATCCATCTATGCGAATAGAAACAATGAAATTCAGAACTTTTCATCATATCAGTGGACTTAAATTGAAAATTGTATAAAATTGAAAAAAATTTAATGAAATTAGTTATTCATTAGTTAATATTTATATGTTTTTATTTGATAAGATTGCCAATTTCATTTTATTTTAAAAATCAAAGAAGTTGGCTATTATATAATTATAATATAATAAATATGTATAGCCGTATAGTAAATATATTCTGTTTTAATTGTATACTATATTTTTATATACTACATACTATGTTATATTATATAACTTTCAAAATACTAACATACTTTAAGAATATTTATATCAATGGTTAGTATAACATAGCTGTTGTAGGCGTGACCAAGATAAAAACTAAAACCTAATACATATTTTAAGTATAATTTCTTTATATTTATAAACACTATAAGTATTAAAAAAATTATATTTGAAAAGAACATTGATTTTTATGTTAAAATTACATTTTCTACCATCATTGCGATGAATTATATATATATATATATTTCATTTATACCCTTCTACTCAATATTTTATTTCGACCCAAATGTTACTGCCAGACAATCATAATATCCGGCCTACTAGTTGGAAAGATACTGCCTGCCGGATATCTGTTGCATCTCTAATGATGATATACCGTAAACAGAAAATGTCATTACAGATTGGCATTTTGTCTCAGTTAAAACGTAGCTTTTTTCAACGGAGATTTCTAGTCCAATGGAGCATGGCTGATATTAATAGCAATTCTAAATTTTCAGATATATATTGCAAGAAAGAATGTACATATAGAATTTTAAAAGTTCAAAATAAATAAGTTCAGAAAAAAAGATTGCGATATCATTATTAAAAAAAAAAATGATGCCAAGAAATCGCATCTATCTACAAATTAAACAAAAAACATTTTGTATCTTTTAAAAAATGAACATAATTTCAAATTGTATTTATACAAATTTAATAAAAAATTCCTAGTACAGTAGCGAGAAAACAAATAGAGCGTTAAAATTTCTATACAACTGAGGTTTATTCAAATAAATATTTTCTTTTACAAAAGCTCTTTTCTTCGATGAAATATATATTTTTCACTTTTTAGATGAGTATTACCTTTCATAATATTTAAAACGTATTAGTTACTAATTACAGTCATCTGCCGGAAAAAGTGTCAGGATTGTTACCAGGGTTTGTTGATTTAAATCAACTGATTTTTTAGATATATATATTGATTTAAAAAGTTAAAAAACAGTGTTATAAATTATTGATACTTTTATTATTTCATTTCTCAGTTTTAAAATTTATTTCAACTAAATTGCCGCATTCGTTTTAAAATTTATTATTGCTGCGTTAATAATTTTAGCTAATGAAATTTCTTTCTTGGCATGTGTTAAATTCCAACAAATTTGAAATTACATTTTTAAAAATCTTTTGATTCTTGAGATTGAAAGTACAGATTAAAGTAAACACTTAAGTATTTTTTTTTCTCATATTATGTTTACAGTATCTTTGATATTATCAGATTTTCGATAAAGAAATTTTGTGAAAAAATTTCAACGAATGCATGGATTTTTGTAAAATTTTTTTTAGCTTAACTTATCTATTTTGATATAGAATTAAAAATGAATATTTTAATTTAAAAATATATAGATTAAATATTTATTTATTTTTTGATGAATGATGACATTTATAAACACAATCTGTAACAATTATTTTGCCATTTCAAAAATCAAGAGGAAAAAAAAGAAATCACAAATTTAAATTAAAATTATGGTTTTGAAATTGAAACTTTGTTTTAATAGTTAAAGTATTCTTTAAATTCTCTATTTCTAGTCTTTAAACTTCAATCATGCATTTGTTTCAAAATGATTGCTATGCATTCAAAGCTATGTATTATAATGAAAAATTGTTTTAGGTAGTTAGAGCTTCTAAAATATTCTTATAATATAGTTCTAATATTAATTTAATCTTGATTAAAAATTTATAAAGTTTTTTAGTCATAAATCAGAGTTCTTACAGTGCATTTGAATAAAAATTAAAAAAAATCCGATTTAAATCGAAAAAATCAGATTTTTTTTTTTAAAAATCAAAAAAATAACGAACTCTGATTGTTACATACTAACAAAAAAAATTTTTTTAAGGCTTTTTTAAAAATTTTTTTAAAAGTTTAACTTAAGACATAAAAATTTCTTTACCTAATTTTTAAAGCTGAAGATGCAGGGGAATGACGATCACTACTGGGAGTAACATTTTCACAGCCTTGGTCGCTTTTTACCAGTTCCTTTGACTTTAACTTCTTCGGATCTAAGGACTTTGGAGCACTACACTTAGAATAATAATTTGTAACAACTTCGCTAGAATGGTTTTTAGAATTATTTGCTTGAGTACTTTTAACAGGAGGAACCTTATTTTGTGAACATTGAAGTAATAAGCCTTGTTGGCAGTTTTCTGTGACAACCGTAGTTTTGTGAAACAGCAACTTGTCATTACCATCATAAGTTATACTTGTCATTGTACTACTTGAGGTTTTTTTTACATGTGTCTCATTGTGGCACATTACGCCATCTTTAGATTTATCTTTAGTAGAAGCAGCATGAACTTCACTATTTGAAGATGTACCAGAACTTGAAACATCAAAAGGTTCAGCTTTGTCATTTCTACTCCTAACTTCATCCCTTAATGTGGGTATTGAGTTATTATTATCTACTACGTACTGCATTATATTTTTTAAACTGCTATTAATCATATCGAACTTTTTGTCCACTGACAATTGTCTTTCAGATTGTTGAGTTTGCAATTCTTTAATTTCTTCATTTTGCCGATGCAATAAAGTCAAAATTTCATTGAGAACACTCTCCTTGGAAATGTTGCTTAAACTATCAGCTGAGGAAATGCCAGAGTCTACGTAATGTGATTCTTGCTGAAATTTAGAACAAACTGATCCTTCATCTCTTCCACCCAAACTACGGTGTTTCCTGAATTTTTTATCCATTTTTATTGGATTTGATGCATTGTCAACCACATATTTACCACTATTAAAGTAATCATTCATATCATTACTTTCTTGATGTTGAAGTTGTTTAGACAGAACAATAACTGAGTCTGATTTATTTAGCGTATTTGTAACATTCTGTGTCTCACAGGGAAAATCATGGTGGCCAGATAAGAAAGGAGTGTTTATTGCATGTTGCCTATTAAATTCTGGTCTAAATTCACCCTTCTTGTCTAATATATGATTTTTTGATGAATTATTAGTGAATTGATGTAGATGCGGAGAGACAAAGTTTTGCCGACTTGTTTGAAGTGGTTTGCTATTTATGTTAGAGTTAAAACCCGTTTCAGTACATTGTTGGAACGTACTCAAACCTGGTTCACGAACATCTTCAACACGATTTTTGACTTTTGGACGAACACTAGTAGTTGGGTCCATGTTTAAATTTGAAATTGTACGACCTGGGGACAATTCAATACAGCCAAAAGGTGGTGGATAATTTCTAGTAATAGGATGTTGGACGTTAGGGAAAACAGTATTATCAAATTCACTAGCATCAGATGCTACAGAGAAATTAATTGAATCAAGAATAGTCCCTATTCTTGATTCAGGTTTAGGAACCTAAAATAAAAAGACTTATTATAACAAAATAAAAATAAACTTAATTAAACTTACCGAAAAAAATTAAAAATAAAGATACATTTTTCAAAATGAAATATTACCAATGATATTTTTCACCAGAATTCTATAATGCATAAATAGTAAAATCAAATGTTTTAATTTTAAAAAACGGAACTGAACATCTGAGTACCTGAAGCCACCTATGGCCTCAGGTACTTTTTATCATGGTACTTTTTAACAGGTATTTTTTATCAGGTACCATTTATCTTCATCAATGTGGTGATTCGATGAGGTAATACAAATGGAGTATCCTTGATGACAGGTGACCATTAAATTATGAAGATGTAGACAATATGGTGATTTAAAAAACGGAAAATCATCTTATCAATATTTAAGCCTTGAAATTTTATCGATAAAAAAGATACATGTTTAAAAAGGGATATTAGGAGCAATTTTTAGCAAAATATTTTAATTTTGATTGTGTCGATGATTTAAATCAAATGATCAAAATCATGATTTTATCAAATTGACATTTTAAAAATAAAAATCAGTGATATTTTCTTTTTTGCTCTTAGAAAAAGAAATGAAAATATCATATTTTTTACGATATAAATTGTCTGGCTGCAGTTTAATATAAATTTTAAAGCCGTTCTTTGAAGGTTCTGTTGTCATTATGCTCTGTAAAAAATAATACACTATTTCATAACTTTTATTGAACTAACAGTCATGACTTTAATGTTAGGTTTTGTCAATTTTTAACTAGCATCATCTGTGCTAATTATGAAAACGGAACAAAATGTCAATAGAAAGAAAACCATGGATTTTTGGAAATTAAAAAGCATTTAAAATTGAAGTTTTTTAATTCTTAAAGAAAGGAAGTCTACTGACAGAAGTCTTATATACAGCTAATAGAAAATTATATATACAGTTTATTGATCCTACTCTTTTTGACTTTCTCTAACTTCATATATTTATTAGTCTATTTTGAAAGATAATAATTTACCCTCTCATTACTTCTTTGAATAAAACAGTCATCAGTGAAATCAGACTTTAAAAATAATATATTTAAAAGAATATTTCCAATTTCATGACTCGTGTAAGAAAATATCAGTTGGTTTAAATAAATTATTTCTTTTAAAAAAAAAATCACAGTTAATTTAAATCAATGGCTTTAAAAAAAAATAATAAATAAAGTAATTTAAATTATGACTTAAATCGTGATTTAAATCAAGAAATTTCAAGTGATGCCAATCGTTGATAGAAATAAGGAATCAATAAAAAGAACTGACTTTAATTTGTATGATCTTTAACCTTACTTACATTAAATTTTTTCTTTAATATTAATACCATTATTCATTCTCATTGACAATGAAACTTCATAAATCAATGCAAATTTACTTTATTTAATCCTACTGTAATTTTTTGGCAATAATAAAACTGCGAAAATACTATTTCATTTTTAAAGCAAAGTAGATGATCAGTCAGAGGAATCAGTTGCTAATTGAAATCAAAACCTTCAGGAATAGATACTCTCACATTAACTGTAGTAGTATGTATGAATGAATGTAGAGAATTGTATTTGTTCATTGTACAGTAATAATTTTTGTAAATACAAATATCTCTTAGCCTTGTGGCAGAATTTTTTCGAGCTATCTGCGTCAAAACTCTCTAGCACTAATATCATGCTGCATTATACTTTTAATAATAACAAACATATATGTTACTAAATTAAAATAACAAAGAAACTGTGTTAAAAAAAAAATTATAAAATATTTTTTTAATTGAACATGTAACAATTTTTTATTCTAATTTTATGGCTGATATTCTTGCATTTTTTTTGGAGGGAACACACAAATTATTTCCTTCTTTGCATTTTGTAAATAATCATCACTATAAAAAAATAATTAAATATTTGAAATTCGTAAGTGCCGAAAGAGGGATCGATGAAGAAATCATGTGAATCGGATACTTCAAATGTGTGTTTCATAACAATAACTGCCGGAAATACAGATTTAAATATTACCTGTCAATTTCTGTATTAAAGAAAAGTAAAATTTTCTGCTTTTTAATAGAAAAATCTTTCTGCAAGAACTTTGTAACGTTCTGCGACAATGTCTCTGCATACCCTCCAACTTATGAAGATTTTGAAAATAATTCTTTCTAGTGGTAGCGAACCAAAGTAGAAATTTTTAAAGCAAATGGATCTCTCATAAAACTTTTATCAGAACTTAAGAATCTAGCCATATGGCCTGCACTTTTATAAGTAATAGTGGACAAGTTACGCTAAATTTAATTTTTTTTTAAATATTAAGACATTAATTTTGCTACCGTCTGAAAAGAAGATTTCTGAAACTACGGAAATTCCGTAGCAGTTGGAGGGTATGTCTCTGCAATTAGGGGGTCTCTTAGTGTCACATTTTCAATCCTCCTTATCTAACTCATTATTATATAATCCTTGTATTACTACACTTATCAGTAGAAATAAACATTCTTTTCTAAGAGTAGAACATGTAAAACTAAATAGAGAAATAAAACTAACTGCACAGATTTTTATTTTAATAATGGAACAAATAAAATTGTAAACTTAATAAAATTGAATTTGAAGAAATAAAAAAGGTAAAAAAATTTATCACTTCTAAATTATAGCAATACAATAAACTAAACAGATACAGAAACAAATAATTGCAGGAAGGTTTAAAATAAAGATTTTTTGGCAACAATACAAATGTAAAAAATTTTAAAAATTGTTTCACCAGGTCAGAAGGTTTAGTTGCTGCTGGTGGTTCCAGTAAAGTAGAATCCTCAAAATGCGAAGTTAGATGAACAGCATCAAACGACTTTTCACTGAAATTAACAAAGAGGAACAACTTTTAAGAATATCAAAAACGTACAAATTGACTTGTAAGTAACCAAATACAAATCCTAACTGTAAGATAAAAAATTTAAATGTTAAAAATATGAAAGTTCGAAATATGATATACAATAATAAACTGTAAAATTTACGTTATTATTAATACATTAAATTTGCATATAACACCAAAAAAATAATATTAATAAACTAAAAGATTCAATTTAGTAACAGAAAACAGATCAGAATTCGTTACGATGAACATTTCGAACAAATAACATGAATGTCATATTTAAAAATAAAACATAGATGCCATATAATCCAATATATATTCGATTTAACATACTTATCATACAATTCCATAATTCTTTTCAAATTGTTTTTCAGAACGACGAAAAAATATAAATCATGTTTATTTTGACTTTGATTACACCCGCGGTATCTTTTTAGAAGTTGCAGTTAATTAAATTAACTGTACATTTTCATCTGTTTATTTCTGCTCATCCCTGTTCCATTCCATAGCCGAGCGTCTCTAATAAGGATTATTTTCACTAAAGCTCGGGACTGCCTAAATTTCCGGGTTACTGTTTCAGTTGTATTTTAAAGCCATTTGGCATCATTGTGTTTTGAGATTCTTGCAAACAATGTATTTGATTACTTATTACTTATGTTTACAATGCTAACAATACTTGTGTTTACAATACTAAAAGTGTTAACACTAACGTAAGATGGTGCACAGCTTGCAACACGAACAAACAGTAATAAACAAATAGAAAGAAGCCAAATCAAGACTGCCAAAAAAGCGAGTTATTCAAAATCTAGCAACCATGTCACCTTTTTTAATAATAAATAACAAAATACCTAAAACACATTTTCACTCCAAACTCCCCAGAATTACATAATAACATTAATATCTTATGAAAGACGGCAGATTTGAGCTCAGAAATTATCTAATTTATTTCTTTATTAAAAACAAAATTATGCGTTTGAAAACATCGCCTATCAGAATAACATGTAGTAAGCAGCTGCAAACTTTTTAACTGGAACTAGAGTAGGTCCCGAGCTCGAGATTGTTATTGTTTACATTTCTATTTGAAAACACCATCCATATGTAAACGAGAACTTGAGTGACTAGTTTTTTGCAAGTAAAGAAGCATTATTACCGAATGCATAAACCGCACATCTGATCCCAGAAAGCATATAACCTTACGGCAACCTTATGTCGGAATTTTCATTTTTATTGTCACTAAAATGTTTGAGCTAAAAACCTTTTTTCAATGAAGCAATAATATTGCAGTTTCAAACCTTTCATCCTAAAAGATTAAAAATTATTTTTTAAAGCTTTTTTTTAACAAGTTTTGTCACTTAGGTAAAATGGGCACTTAGGTCCGTAAGAATGTTTTAGATAACGTCACATTATAGCAATAGGATCAAATTGCAATGTCCATTAAAACTTCATGACAAAGTCTACTTTAGCTGAACATGCAAGACGTTACGAAAAGAAACCTTATAATTATTTAGATTTAAGATTATTCTTATCTTAAGACTAGCTTTATTCCAGGATTTTTTTTCAGGCTTGGAAAACCCTAAGTCAACCTCGATTTAAGGTTTTCATATCGAAGGTTGTTTTCCAAGGTTTTGGATTATGGGTAATGTTAGTAGAATAGAGCAGATTGTCACAGATCTCGTTTTAAGGTTTGTACGTAAACCGCATGACTAACCTTTTTTAGGTTCACATTAAAAGGTTTTTGCTGAGTGAAAATAAACCTTATTTTGCTATCTGGGGATCACTGTCGCGAGAAAAAGAAAACCGTATAGTCAGGGTTAGTCCAACCCAGTGGCATAAATAATCCCTTCCCCACGATTCCCGCAGTACGGAGGGAAGGATCGCACGAGGTTTGAGGGCGCACTATCCAGAAACAGTACACTAGCGTTACGGGTACGCAATCTACAGCTCACCTGCTCTTGATGTGTGGCCCGCGGGCTCAACTGAACATAATAATAATAATAATTAACAATTATAATTTATTTTGCAAAATAAAATAAAAAATCAGAAATTTTGAATTTCCCATGTAGCACAATTCACAAAAACGATATCGTAAAAACTTAGCTTTGAACATTGTACAATATCGTAGCGAAATATTGTACTATATAAAAATGGACCCCTTTTACAACGTATATTCAATATTGCAACACAGTATTGTTCGATATTATAATAACGTTGGGGAACGTCGATCGACATCTCTCTGCGTTTACAAACGTTGTACTATGTCGACCGACATCGTCGACACGATATTCAAAAAACGAATGCTGTGGAATGCAGACAATCGCCAAAATTACGTTATTTGATAAAAATTAGTTTTTGAAAATATTCATGCCTGTTTGTAACCTGGAAAAAGCTGATAACAAAACCGTTCCAGCTTGTTTAAAATTAAATTATTTGTCATTACCAAAACTTGTAGAATTTTTTTAATTATTAATATTTAATAAGTTTGGGTAGGCAGGTATATTTTACTATTATTCTAGAAAATAAGCTAGAAAGTAAATAGTTTTGTTAAGATATTTCGCTTTTTCAGGGTACAAGCAGCCATTTATACTGTGAAATAATTTTCATATTTTAAGTGATTTGTGCAATAATTTTTACAGCATCTATACTTTACTAAGTAGATTAAAATTACAATATGTTTAATTTAAAACTATAAACTTTTCTGCTGTAACGTTTCAGTATTATATAACCTGTATTTTACTAAAATAGTATGTATGGAAAACCAAATTCCTTATCTTCACAGCATCAGGTTCGATTTTAAGAAAACTGATTAAAAAGAAAAAAGCAATATTTACACTGATATTGTCATAATTAAATAACAGGAGTCACTTCCTCAGATTTCTGATGAGAGGTAAGCATGGTAGAATAAGCTGCGATTTAATTTACTTATAGCCTTTATCCATTAAAGTGTTGCCACAATATCTATTAGGGCTTGAACGGTTGTCAAATGTGTGAATGAAATATAATTTTTATTAAACAGTAAAGAATAATATACTAATTTCTATAATTTATTGTATTCTTTAATACAATCAATTGTTTCTAAAACAAAACTGTGTCAGTTGAGGCAAACTTAGTCTTCCTGCCTTCCCAGTCGTTGGCGGTGGCAAGAACTTCACCAAATTTTTCTAATCAGCCAGCTTTTTCTAATCAGCTAGTTTCTTTAAACAGTCTGAAGGTAGCAGCTGCAAAAAAAATAAGACATGAACTGTCGTTAATTTTAAAATTTTTAAATTAAAAGACAAATAGTTAACAATAATATTGAAAACATTACATGAACTAAAGTAGACATAAGCATAACGCAAGTACTACTAGCAGCGTTAATGCTAATCCCTAGGTTGACAATTCTTTTGTATAGAATCAGAGCAGTTTTTATGTTTTCAGGAGCACTGGGCCTGTTTTTATATGGGGGCCCTTTACGAGTAAGTTTATAACATAAGGAAAATATTATATTTTATAATATAATAGATGGAAAAAAGTTTTTCTTAGAATAATTTCAAAAATTATTTGGCCACCTTTCGATAAGGTGATCCGGGTTCTAATCCCAGTATCGGCTGGAATTGGAACCCGGGTAGTCAATACAAATTCCACATCTAACATGTGCTTACCACAGTGCTGATTCAGATATACTGAAGTATTTTGCAAAGGTACCGCTAAGTGGTAATAAATTTGGCTTGGACACAGACCCCTGTTCTTTAATTATTGAAACAAAGTTTCAATTAGCAAACCATAATTTTACTTAAAAAGTGAGATTTTTTTCTCTTGATTTTTAATATGACAAAATAAATGCAACAGATTATGTTTATAAATGTAGTACTAATTCCACTAATAAAATATAATGTAGATTTTAATTCCATGCTTTTTCAATCAAAAGGTAGAATATATATATATATATATATATATATATATATATATATANTAAAAAATATATAAATTTTATGTATTAATTAAATTTCACATATGAATATAGGTTTTTGACATTTTCGACATTTTTGACAGTGAGGTTTTTGACGTGACGGTTTAAACCATGGTTTAAACTGTCAAAAACTGTCACATGTCAAAAACCTGCCAACCCTGATATATATATATAGCTTCAAACTTGTACGGTTGAGAAAAAAACTTCTTACTAGCAGCAACATTAGAGGTCTTATTAAATTTTCAGTAGACATATTAAATCAATCTAGTAGACATAACTAAATCTCTAATTTAAAATTTCGAAAAAAAAAACATTTCAATCTACCATGACAAATTAAACAATATGCAAATATGATCTATTTGTTAGCTCGCTTAGCTCTTAAATTTTGATGTTGTTGTTACTTTACGTCGCACTAGAGCTGCACAATGGGCTATTGGCGACGGTCTGGGAAACATCCCGGAGGATGATCCGAAGACATGCCATCACAATTTTGATCCTCTGCGGAAGGGATGGCACCCCCGCTTCGGTAGCCCGACGACCTGCGCGCGAAGTCGAGCACTTTACGGTAGCACAGTTTAACGAGGACCAATACCGCACACCCTCGGTCCCTACACAGACTGATCCAAGTGGTCACCCACCCGCACACTGACCGTAGCCAGTGGTGCTTGACTTCGGTGATCTGGTGGGAACCGTGTCTTAACGATCAGTCCACTGCGGGACTCTTAAATTTTGAATTAGTTTAAGTATTAAAAAGTATTTTTCATCGAACGTACAAGTTGCAGGTATGAAAAAATATAAACATAAGCATGTCAGAAGGCTTAACACCTCCAAACATACTATAATATTACGCCACTGTTTATGAATATGAGAATTGAATAATGTGATATAATTAAATAGTTAAGCAGCTTGGACATGAAAAAAGAGAAAATCGATGTAATTCCTACAATATATAATTATATTAAAAACAGCACATACCTGCCAAGTTCAGAGAATTCGCTCACTTCACCTTCATCTACAGCTGGTTTGAGTTTTCGGGCTCGCTTAATCGAAACTACTATCATTCCAATTACATTATGAGCTAAGATATAAATCTTATGAGACGAAATTAGATTTAAATATAAGAAGACAAAAGATAAATAGACAGCTGGCGTAGCGGACAATAATAAGCAGCATCTTAACGGGTTACGGTTGCGGTTTCGAGTTATAGATCGTAGATTTCAGTATTTAGAGAAAACGATCGATGTCGTGACAAAAACACGATTACAATATTGATATCAAATACTGTCCAAATGTTGTACGGATATCTCTAAATTTATGTTTTAAATTTATTTTTTGGAATTATAACAATTTGACGTCATTTTTTGTTTTTTAAATGATTAATTTTGATTCAAGAACACAATAAAGTTTAAAATGAAAAGTTTTACAAACAGACTTTTAATGTGAAATCGACGGGAATCGTACAATATCGTGCAGACAATGTCGATTTTCGCCAATATTGACAATGTCGGTCGATGTAGACTAAAGCTATTACAATATCCCTGTGCTA